TAGAATCCTTATTTGCCCACATATCCCCCTATCTTGAGGGACTGTAGAGGGGAATAGAATGAGATGCCAGGAACAGTAGCTTGTGTTCTTGCTGTGTGGGCTTCCCACATTGGGACATTGCTCTTCTGGTCAGCCCTTGTTACCCACCACAGTGCTTTGTCCTGTGGATAATATTACTGCTTCTTACTTACTGACCCAAGAAAAGGAGGACAAAGAGATGTAGCTCTCCAGTTATTCATCCTGAGTATCAACTTCATACAGGTATTGACTCTCAGCTTGACACTCTGCTACAGGTCACTTACGTCCACACAAGTCTCTGCAAATGTTTTAAAGCTACAGTTCCCTGTGGTCTTATTTCTCCATCGATCAGATCTTAATTCATTTTCTATCTTTTGTGATCCTTTAACATTTCTGACTTATGATACTCTTGACTGTTTTCTGGCATTTATAGATTCATTTTGTTCTTAAATTCCTATTTTTTGTTATTTCATAGGACTTTTAGGTGAGTGGTAGAATATGTACAAGTACTAAATCCACTATGTTTATTCAACATCCCTCTAATTTCTGAATAAGAAAAAATAAATTTAGTCATTTTTTCTTTGTGTTCCTCATATTTCTCAGGACTGTTTATGATACAGTTATTCTTTTCAACAAAAAAGAAAACACAAACATATTTTATTATTATTCTGAGCTCAACCCTGTTAGAGAAACAGCTATTTTCCAAAAGGAAATAATGATATAAAAGTAAATGTTAGGTGAGAACAGAAGTGTCAATGTAGGAACAAATGAATAATGGTGCTTGATAATGATTTTTCTTTCTTGACAAATTCCTGATTCTATTTGCTACTGAATGGGAATGTAGTTAAATAAAACAAAAATTGATATGCTTCAAGATTTGGTGGTATTTTTTTTTACAATGAACTGTGGGTATGTTCTCTTTGATTCCTTATAATCACCCTAATCCTGCAGCATGATTTATCAAAAAGAGCACTGGTTTTAGAATAAAGTTCAATTCCCAATTTTTCCATTCACATTTTTTGCCTTTCTATTAATTTGTCTATAAAACTTGGATAGAAATACCTGTAACACTTGGAAAATTATAAAGCACCCTACAGGCTTAAAGGTGGAAGAAAAAAGGTTGTCATATTGCAGAAAAAGGCAATCCATATTTGTAACTGCATTTTAGGTTTTGCTGAATCCTCCTGTAGCCTACCCCTAAAATGATGGTGTCCTTAGAGCCTTGGGTTCACTCTCACATCTAGTCATTTGTGTCAGGAAGAAAAAATGAGCAGTGGGTAGGTCAAGTGACAAAATAAATCTACAGATAGATCAAGATATTGCCATGCTATTGCAATGCTATCCTATTGCAACGTTTGTTTTTGCAATATCTAGTCAAGTTTCATTTTCTGGTATAGTTAAAATGCCATGGGAGGCTTACCTTAGACTAGAGGACATTGACCTTTGCAAGGTATTGACTGCTCCTGAATAAACCTCACTGATGCTCAAAGGAATGGGGTGGGGTGACAGCACACCCATGCAGTGGTAGGAAGACTCACAGGTGAGGAGGAGGAGGAGGCAAAGAACAAGCAAGGTAGTTCTTTCCTGGACCAGATCTTGAGTTCTAAATAGGTTTCCAAGCTCAACTGTCCTTCTCGGGAACATGTAGACTGCTGAGCTTGATTTTCAGATCTAGACTAGTAGTCATATGACCCACAAAGAAATGACTCTGTATAGTAAAAAAAAAAAAAAAGTAGGGGCCATCCTTTTGACCAAGAAGTTTCAGATGCCTAATTAATAAAAGTTTATTTTTAATGTAAAGGTCATTTTCTAGCAGAAAATTTTCTCTAATCCTGCAAAATAGTTTATAATCCCTGTATTTTGCCTTCAGAGCATATATCCCAATTAAGAGCTAGCTGCTGGTTTCCTTACCAGCAGAAATTTTGGATCTCTGGGCCAGAAACCAGAAAGGTTTGGCAGAATGGAGTATTTTCCCACCTTTCCTCAGGGTCCATGTTGGCATAACTTTATAAGGCATCAATGATGGGAAGCCCCAAGTTGTTTTCTCAAGTCAATGTCAAGTTCCTTATGGCGAGTTGGACAGTACTCCATGGTTTGGCAATCTGTTGGCCTTACTTTTCCATATTGGTCATGTTTTTCATCATTGCTGGTGTTTTAGAGGGAAGCTTGGAAAAGCTGAGGCAGGTGCCAGCTTGAGGAGAGTGAGTGAAGTGGGAGGTGGACCCGAGTTCAGGTCCCTTTGCTGGATCTGATTTTCCTTACTTGTCAAATGGGTATTGGAACTCTATGATTTCCATGTTCCCTCTGCCCTGGTATCTATGCATCTTGTGGTTCCATGTCTGAAATTAATTTTTATCTTAATTTTGAAGACATAATATTTTCTACCTAAAACCAACTGTTTTCCTATATCAACTACTCAGTTCTCTCTTAAACCAATGAGTAATTTTATCTTGGGTAAGATTTATCATAAAATCTAAAACCATAATTTTATTCAGAGTCCAGAAATATTCCTTAAGGACCTACTTGTCTCTTTTCTATGGATAGAATGAGTTTATATGATGCATTTCAAATAAGAAATTAAAAAATTAGAAATAGAAAGACAAATAATGTTTGGGGATATAGTGTAATCTGCAGGATAGTAAACACTCTGTAAAAATGTTATTAAATCAAAGAGGAAATAGTTTAGAAAAAATTTCCTGGAATTGCACAATCCCCTTTTCTCTCAAAAACATGTCCATTTCCTTATTAGAGCATAAAAAGGTATAATTGATTATCATAACCTTGTGGCTTTAAATCATAATAAAACTTATATCAGGATCATTAAGTATTTGAGAACAAATGCACTTGGAATGATATTTTTCAACTTACAAATGTGACCAGCATAGGAGCCCTACCAACCTTCAAATTCACACGCAGTGGATTGCCTCAGTATGTGGTTATGAACATTCTATCTTATAGATAATCAAAATGTCACCCCAAAAGTGATTCCATTGTCACTGAAGACCAGAGGGTAAAGTGACAGAAGATATCATGGCTTGGGTGCAGTTACCAGCCATTAAGACCTTCAGATTCTGTATGTTTTCCCGTGGAATGGACCAGCTCAGGAGATGACTGGGTCTAACCAGTAGCACAAGAAGGGCTTCCACAAAGCCTTTCCCCAGGGCTCTCCTGTTCCCTCAGGAAATTAGCTCCATTCTACCAGGGGAAGGAGAACAAATAATTCAAAGAGGATGGGCATGAGGATGAGGAAGCCCACTCCCAATTATTCAATGGCTCCCCATTGCCTCCAGGACAACGTGTGAGTTCCTCATTTAGACACTTACAGCTCCCACTTTCTGTGCCAGCTGACACTACAGCCTCAACTACACCACAGGGAAAAAAGAGGATGGAATCAGAGAGGTGACAGGGTCCCAGACCAATCAAACAAGACTCTAGCTTTGATTCCCAGTGAGGTGGGGACCATTATAGGTTCAGAGCAAAGAGTAACAAGAGCTGCCACATCTTTTATTTAATTAATGAACAGTTGGTCTTGCCTGCAATGTCCACTGAGATATTGTGTCCATGCCAGATGTCCTTGATATTTGGTCTAGTCCAAAACGTTCATACTTAGAAAACATCCCTCAGTTTAAACAGCCCATAACATTCATTTCAAATTTGGTTTACAGGGTTCATACATAAAAAATACTATCATGTTTTATGGGTCCAATAATTGCATTTGGGGGTATTGCAAATAATAACCCTTCTCACCTCAGTAGCCTAGCTGGCCAAGACACATGGGGTGAGGTGAATGGGTCAGTGTGGGCCAAGTGTCTCCATGGGCATTTTTATACATGACCAACTGACCTGCAAGAGTTTTATTTCTTACTCATTCTTCTCAAATACACCCTACATTTCTAGCACATGGACCCCTTCACCCTCATGGGGCCAAGCATCCCTGCCAATAGCAATCTCCTTCGACCTTTAGTGTCCCTCCACATAAAGCCGCCTTGATTCCTCCAGCAAGATGTCTCTCTCCCTCTAGCTCTAACCTTACAAATGCCCAATGTTCTTGGCTTAGGCCAAGATTTTGCGTTTTCTGCCTGGTACTTACTATTAGGAATTAAATGACAATATAGATATATCTTGCTTTGAACCTCAGCTGGATTGCACACCCCTCAGGCATGGATTACATTTTATACAGCAAAACAGCGCTATTATTTCAACTGTGATAGAAGCCAGGTGCCTCCACAAACTCAACTCATTTTCTAGGCCCTGGACTATATAATAGCCAGATAGATACCTGCCTACAGTTTGGCCAACAGGTCCAAAGTTCAAGTTCATCCACATTTCTAAATACACAAATGAGTTGGAATATTCATGTTTTTAAAAAGTTAAGGCCATATTATTACCCAACCAGTTTTTTCCAACTAAACTGTTTTGGACATAAACACCTATTGTTACTCTTCAGATGAAATTCTGCAGAGATTCATTGTCTCCACACATTTTGGGACTTGTTTTATATCACTCTGTAATCTTTGTTGCCTTTATTTGCTACATTTTTTTCACATTCCCCACTAAAATGTAAATTCTTTTAGTATGGAGTTCTTACAGTTATTTATGGGCCCTGCCTGTCCCCTTGCCCACAAACCCTTGCTTAAAAAATATTTGCAAGCCATAACCGGTTTGGCTCAGTGGATAGAGCATCGGCCTGCGGCCTCAAGGGTCCTAGGTTTGATTCCGGTCAAGGGCATGTACCTTGGTTGCGGGCACATCCCCAGTAGGGAGTGTGCAAGAGGCAGCTGATCGATGTTTCTCTCTCATCGATGTTTCTAGTTCTCTATCTCTCTCCCTTCCTCTCTGTAAAAAATTAATAAAATATATTTTAAAAAATATTTGCAAATGAAATATTTGAATGGATCTTCCAGGTCTTCCCTTAGTCTTCAATTGCAAATGAGATAGAAAAAGAAGAGGGCCAAAGGTAAACTTCTGCCTCTCTTATACAGGATTTTGTGCCACTGTATCAAAACTTTGAGAATTTTTACACACGAAACATTTACATGAGAATCAGAGACAACTGGAACCGGCCCATTTGCAGCGCCCCGGGGGCTCTGTTTGATGTGATGGAGAGGGTGTCGGATGACTACAACTGGACATTTAGGTGAGGCTATCCCCTGGAGGGGCTCGGTTGAAAGGAAATCCTTTCAAGGAAATCCTGTCGTGGGCACCAGATTACAGAACTGAAAAACCATAGCAAGGAAGCAACTGGTCTTCCATCATTCAGCCTTTTGCAAGCCCTCATATGCCAGTAGGGGAAGTCACGGTGATTATGCTGCCACTGGTAGCATGTTTATATTGCAATTTAAGTAAGACCTGTGTCAGAAGGTGCAGGATACACAGAGCCAGCCAGCCAGCCAGCAAGGAAAAGCCCTTTCCAGCTGTATTGACAAATTATACCCCTCTACTTCTTGCTGAAGTGATAACCATGGCTTTTTCTCATTTAGAAAGTTTTTACTGGAATTTAAACCAGGGCATAGGTGTCATGAAAGCGAGTGCCCAAGGAAAATCAGGATTATGTAATATTGCATGGCTCAGGACACCTTTCTGTAATATTCTACCCAGCTTCAATATGGGGATACTTTCCTCTAAGGACAAACCATTTTGTGGTGGCAACAATGCAAGTCTAAAAATATATGTATGATTTGGGCCAGAACTCAAGATCTCTTTGTGAGTCTTGTATGGGGCACTATGAAGATATTAAATGACAAAGCCCTTTGTGCTCACCCGCCCTTCTCTCTGCAGATTCACTGGAAGAATCATCAAAGATGTCATCAACATGGGCTCCTATAACTTCCTTGGCTTGGCAGTCAGGTACGATGAATCTATGAGGACAGTGAAGGATGTTTTAGAGGAGTATGGCGTAGGTGTGGCCAGTACCAGACATGAAATGGGTATGTATGTCCACCATTTTGAAATTTTGTCTAATTGGGTCTCAGATTCCCTGTGGCTACTTCTCAAATGTAGATCTTATCTAGACTGTGTGACTCAAACAGATGTTATATAATGCAAAAGGAAAAGGTATATGAAAGTCTTCGTGGAAATTTCAAACATTATGCTCTTGCCAAGTAGTCTATTGATTACAGATTTTAGTTATTCAGAATAAAAATTTGATCTTTCCTGACCATTATTATCTAAAATAGCAACTATTGTCTCTTTTGCCTGGCCCCTTTTTGGGTCCTTTCTCCCACCTTTCTTTTTCTGTTTTTTAACAGCTTTATTGAGGTATTATTGATATTCAAAAAACTGTACTCATTTAATATATGCAATTTAATGAATTTGGACATATGCATGCACCCATAAAACTATCACCACAATCAAGTGATAAATATATCCATCACCTCAGAAAGTTTCTTTGTGTCCCCCATTTTTTGTGGTAAGAACACTTATCATGAGATCTACCCTTTTAACAAATTCTTGAGTGTGCAATACAGTATTGTTGACAATAGCCACTATGTTGTACAGAGGATATTTAGAATTTATTCACTTACCAAATGGAAACTTTATACCCATTGGAAAATAACTTCTCATTTGGATTTAGCCCTTTCTTCCAATTTTCTGAATGATGTCCACACCGATCTTGATTTGTATATTGTCTGTCTCTGCTACTACAACATAAACTTCATTAAGGAAGGAATGGGCCTGTTGACTGTTGTGTTGAATGAATGAATGAATGAATGGGCAAGGTGGAACAGACTGCTTATTTATTTCTTTTTTAACTAGAACATTCTCTCTTATTCAGAGAAGTGACATCAGTGAGAAGGAAACTACTACTCCACTTCAGGGAGGAAGAGTGGTACAAACTTCCTCCTATAGAGGACTTTGCTATTCCTGGCACTTGGTTTGCTTATATACCATCTCATTTGTTCTTCACAGAAAGGCTGTGCTGTGGTAGTTTGTGTTATTCCCATATTCGAGAGGAACAAACTAAGATCATAGCAAATTAAGAGGTGGGCCCCTGGTGGCTTATTAATCACCTCAACTCCCAGTGTAGCTCAGCAATTTCTACTATGGCAGTTTCCCATCCAGGGTAATTTTCAGTGCCTGTCTGAGAATCAGGAGTAAATATGCTAAAAAAAGATTTACCGTTCATGAAAAATGAGTCACAACTTAGATAACCAGTTGGCAGAGGGGCTTTAAAAACATTTAATTATTCAGTTCTGTGCAAGAAATAACACACAAATTGAACAAAGTAAATTTTTTATCCAAATTACCAAAAAATACTTAACTAAAACTTCAGAATGTATAAGTGGTTGCCCGAATTTTTTAAGAAAGACATCTTACTTATCTTTATTTGAGGCATGAGGGCTGGAAGTATGAAAAGCAGGGTATAAAAAGGTTCCATGCCACTTAGAACAGGGTTGCCCACATGCCCCATTTGGCATAAAGCAGAGACTAGGAAAAGACCCTGGTCATAATGGACAGCAGTCAGTAACTCTGGGGGATGTTTCTTTTGGTGCTAGTGATACTCAACACCAGGATTATTAATGAACCTAAAAGAAAAAAAAATCCTGAATATGATGATCCCCCTCAACTCATGGAGACAGAACACTCCCCCATCACAGCCCTCAGAAACTAAAGGGTGGGAGCTTGATACGGGCAATGGTTTTCCCCAAGTAGAAGCCACATGTGGAATCAGGTTCCCTGAATCTGCAGGCTCAACAAACCCAGAGAGAGGAGATGATCCCAGTGTGGGCAGTGCATAGCCTCAGTTCTCTCCCTGCATACTCACCCTTATGAGTAGGTGGCCTTTTAATGTTTACCTACTTCATTGAGCTTTCCAGCTCAAACTCTAGAAAGAAGATTTTAACAGTTTTCAAATAAACAGTGAGAGAGCAAAATAAAACCATCCACAATAATTTTAGACAAATAAGAGGCCTGAAAACAAGGACATAAATAATCCAAAATAAATAAGTAAACAGGTACATTTAAAATACTTCTGCAATATAAATAGTAACCTTAACATAACATGCAAGAAGTAACATAATTTTGAATAACATTTATTTCAAGAAATACAAGTAACTTTTGGAAACCTTATGCTATATAGTATTAAGAAAATGTTTAATAGTGTAATAGGTAAACAATAAAAACTAGGAAATATAGAGACTTAATTTTAGTAACCAAATAGCTTCTTAAGGAAACAAAAGTAAAAGTTTCAGAATGTTTAATCACTTAGGAATAGAATAGACCCAGAAATAGATCCAAATCACTATGCTCAATTAATATTTGACAAAGGAGGCAAGAACATACAATGGAGTCAAGACAGTTACTTCAATAAATGGTGTTGAAAATTGGACAGATTCATGCAAAAAAGTGAAACTAGACCACCAACTTACACCATACACAAAAATAAACTCAAAATGGATAAAGGACTTAAACATAAGACGGGAGACCATAAAAATATTAGAGAAATCCACAGGCAACAAAATCTCAGACATATGCCGAAGCAATATCTTCACCGACCCAGCTCCTAGGGCAATGGAAACTAAAGAGAAAATAAACAAATGGGACTACATCAAAATAAAAACTTCTGCACAGCAAAAGAAGCCATCAACAAAACAACAAGAAAGCCCACTGCATGGGAGAACATATTTGCCAATGTTATCACTGATAAGGGTTTAATCTCCAACATTTACAGGGAACTCATACAACTTAACAAAAGGAAGATAAACAACCCAATCAAAAAATGAGCAATGGACCTAAATAGATACTTTTTGAAAGAGGACATAAGGAAGACCAAGAGTCATATGAAAACATGCTCAAAGTCACTAATCATCTGAGAGTTGCAAATCAAAACAACAATGAGGTACCATCTCACACCTGTCAGAATGGCTATCATCAACAAATCAACAAATGACAAGTGCTGGCAAGGATGTGGAGAAAAAGGAACCCTCGTGCACTGCTTCTGGTGGGAATGCAGACTGGTGCAGCCACTGTGGAGAACAGTATGGAGTTTCTTCAAAAAACTAGAAATGGAACTCCCATTTGATCCAGTGATCCCACTTCTAGGAATATATCCCAAGAAATTAAAAACACCAATCAGAAAGGATATATGCACCCCTATGTTCATAGCAACACAATTTACCATAGCTAAGATCTGGAAACAGCCTAAGTGCCCATCAGTAGATGAATGGATTATAAAACTGTGGTACATCTACCCAATGGAATATTACACTGTGATAAAAAAAAAAGGAATTCTTACCGTTTGCAACAGCATGGATGGAACTGGAGAGCATTATGCTAAGCGAAATAAGCCAGTCAGATAAAGATAAATATCACATGATCTCACTCATTTGTGGAATATAATGAACAACATAAACTGATGAACAAAAACAGATCCAGAGACAAAGAAGCATTGATCAGACCATCAAACCTCAGAGGGAAGGTAGAGGAGGGTGGGGATAAGGGGGAGAGATCAACCAAAGGACTTGTATGCATGCATATAAGCTAACCAATGGACACAGACACCAGGGGGATGAGGGCATGAGTGGGGGGGTAGGGGGGGAATCAGGGGATATGGACACATATTTAATACCTTAATCAATGTGTATATATATATATATATATATATATATATATATATATCCCAGCCTTTTGAAAATAGTTTCCAATGTCCTGGGGGGTGGGGGGGAAGAACACTGAAATTATATTACAAAATAAAAAAATTAAGCAAAAAAGAATATCAAGATGAAGTATTTAAAACATAATAAAAGGATAGAAGACCACACATATCATTTTGACCAAAAATATGTAACTAGAACATATTTGCTTACTGAAAGAAAACAACTGAGATTTGGCAAAAACCTAAACTCAACTATGTGTTGTAATAAAAAACAAATACAATTAAATTAAAGTTATCCCAAAGGATAAAAGTAGAAAGATAGGTCCCTGCCGGGCACCTGGTTCCCATCTCCCTGCTGCAACCACCACGAAAATACCTCAGTGCCCAAGAGGGAGGTCGATCTAGTTCAGGGAGCAGCAAAGAAGAAGTCCAATGTGCAGTCCAAATCCGCACCTGTAAATGCTCAAGCTAAGCCCAAAATATAGCTGGAAACAGTACATCTCCAGACAGATATTGCAGAATTTCAAATGCTGTTTTTAAGAACCAAAATGATGTCCTGCTATTCATTTTTGTGTACAACTGAAATAATTGTGAAATAAAGAATTAAGGGAGGTTTTGACTCGCTTGTGGATCAATTTAACAATCCACAGGCTGATGGGGTTGGGAGGGTTGTGCATTTTTTATATTCTGAATAGGAGGCAGAGTGAAATGGCAATTTGAGTCATAATCAAGCATTTAAAAGGTTTGACATTTTAAATTTACATCTTCTATACTCATGTTGTTTTCTATTAGCATGCGCCCTGGTCTAGGCTGTCTGTTTCAAATTGTGTGCCATGTGTGACAACTTTGGTAAGATAGCATAATTTTTTGTAATAACTTTGTTAATGTGCTCTGGAAGATTATAAATCTTTGAGGTGTGTGTGTGTGTGTGTGTGTGTGTGTGTGTGAGTGTGTGTGTGAGAGAGAGAGAGAGAGAGAGAGAGAGAGAGAGACTATGTCCTAGTCAGGGGTGGGCAAACTTTTTGACTTGAGGGCCACAATGGGTTCTTAAACTGGACCGGAGGGCTGGAACAAAAGTATGGATCGAGTGTTTGTGTGAACTAATATAAATTCAAAGTAAACATCATTACATAAAAGGGTACGGTCTTTTTTTTTTTTTTTTAGTTTTATTCATTTCAAACCGGCCGGATCCGGCCAGCGGGCCTTAGTTTGCCCATGGCTGTCCTAGATGGAAATGGCTTGGTACTTCCCCAAATGAATATGTAAATTGAACACAATCTCAATAACATGAATGGACAAGGTGGGGAGAGTCTAAACTGAAAGTCTAGAGAC